CATTATGCCTTATTATCTTTTAAATTATGTTTTAACACTTGGAAGTAGAGCAATTAGAAGGTCTGGTTCTAAGGTCTGTTTCAAAGCTGAGAGCCCTTGATTGCCATGATGATTTCACAGGTGCACACAGACGTCAGGCTTATCGGATGGTGCACTTTCAGTATGTACAGTTTTATTGTATGTCAATTATACCTCAGTAAAGCTGTTTGTTTTTTTTAAAGCCAGAAGAGACGCCTCACCAAAACAGGCTGCAATGGCAGAAGCGCCTGTTCTAGCACAATTCTACATCTCCACTCCTCTCCACCAAGTCTTTTTTCACGTTTAAGTATACAAATGGGTCTTTTAGGTGACAGATAATTTCTAACAGCAAAATTACCCAGAAATGGATATCTTTCCAGACATTTCTTTCCAAGTTCCTCCATAGCAGAGTTTCTTTAGAAAAATATTAAAACAGGTGTTTTACAAAACACAACCACCACAGTGTAACATCTTGAAGCTCAACAAGTCTTTACTTTGTCACAAGAAGAATTTGGTAGAAAATGTTTTCTTGGTCACTTATTAAAAATATTGCAAAGATTCTACCATATGTTTAAGTTCTGGATTCTCATCAAAACAACTATGTTGGAGGTATTTTGTTGCATATTGTGCATTTATGGTTTCCATGTGGGCCAGCACCGGAATCTTATTTGGAAATATTTCTTTACTCTAGTCGAAGCAGTCAGTTCATCAGTATTACAGTTTTCCCATATTTTACATAATACATTCTTTTCCATAAAATATGAATTAAAATTTAAGAGTCAGCTACAATGTTATAGGTGGGAATTCTGAAACTGTATTTCCTGTTTCTTTTTCTAATTTGGCCACTTCCTAGCTTGGTGACTTGAGGAAGTTAATCTAATTGCTCTGAGCCATAGTTTCTCCATCTGAAAAAAAAAAAAAAAAGGTTTGGTGATAGTAGTGACTTCATTGGGTGAGGAGGGAGTGGCCCACAGGGAAAGCTCCTAAACCTAGACTGGTGCCTGGTGCAGAGCAAGTGCTCGGTTTATGTTAGATACTATTTTTAACTCTTGAAAACATCTCAGTACACTTTTTTTTTTGCTTTAAAAAAA